CTATGAAAACTAGGCCAGGTGCTAAAACAGACCATCAGCTGCTCATATGCAAGTTCAAACTGAAGCTAAAGAAAATGAAGTCAAATCCACAATAACCAAAATTAGACCTTGACTCTATCCTACCTGGATTTAAAAACCATCTCAGTTATAGATTTTAAACCTTTAACACTAATGAGCTGAGACCAGATGATTTGTGCAAGGATATCATGAATATTATCTATGAAGAATGCAAAATGTTGTTACAATGACAGAGGAGGAACTAAAGACTGAGATGATGTCAGAACACACTCTGAATAGTCACTAGAACACCAAGAAGCCATTCCAAAGGGAAGAAATCAGGATGTTAAGGAGCTAAACAGATTTCAAAGGGTGGCTTGAGGAGGTAAAGCAAAGTACTATCACAAAATGTGCAAAGATCTGGAGTCGGAAAATCAAAAGAGACAAACTCGCTTGGCATTTCTTAAACTGAAGGAACTGAGGAATGAGTTCAAGCCTCAAGCTGCAATACATAAGAATACTATAGGCAGAATATTTAATGACTCAGGAGCATCAAAGGAATATGGAGGGAGAACACAGAGTCATTGTACCAAAAAGAATTGGCTTACTTAGAAGAATTTCATGAAATAACATATAGTTAAGAGGCAATGGTGATGAAGGGTGCAGTTCAAGTTGTTTTGAGGAGTTGACAAAAAAAAAAGGCAACAGGAATGGATGGAATACCAATTGACATATTTCAACAGATGCAGCCCTGGATGTGTCCACCAGGTTGTGCCAAGAAATCTGGAGGACAACTACCTGGCCAACTGACTGGGAGAGATTCATATTTATTTCCATTCCAAAAAAAGGTGACCCAACAGAATGTGGAAAAGATAAAATAATCTCTTTAATATCACACTCAAGCAAAATCCTGCTGAAGATCATCCAAAAATTGCTGGAATGGTACATCTGCAGAGAACGACAATAAATACAAGCTGGGTTTAGAAAGAGGCCATGGCACTAGAGACATCATAACTAATACCAGATGGATCTTGGCTAAAAGCAAAGAGTATCAAAAGGAATGTTTGTATTTCATTGACTGTGCAAAGGCATTTGACTCTGTGGATCACAACAAATTGTGGCTAACCTTGAGAATAACGGGAATCCCAGAACACTTGGTTGTGCTTATGAAAAATACTTGGACTAGGAAGCAGTCATCAGAGCAGAGCAAGAAAATAGTGCATCTTTCAAAATCAAGAAAGGGTGATATCAAGGATGCTGCCTATCTCCATATCTTTTCAGTCTGTATGTGGAACAGATCATTCAGGAGGATGGACTTGATGAGGAGAAATGTGACTTCAGGATTAGAGGAAGATGCATCAACAACCTACATTATGTAGATGACACAATCTTGCATGCTGAAACTGATGAGGACCTGAAGCATTTGCTGTAGAAGGTCAAAGACTTTGACCTTCTTTAATGTGCAACATCAAGAAAACAAAGATTCTCATCTCTGGGTCAATTGGCAGATCATGATAATGGAGAAGAGATTGAAATTGTTAACAATTTCAGCTTGCTTAATTCCGCAATCAACAATCTTGGCACCAGCAGTCAGGAAATCAAAAGACAAATTGCATTAGGAAAATCTGCTGTCAGGGACCTCTCCAGAATGCTGAAGAGCAATGATATCAGCCTTGGCCTTCACAATTTTTTTGCTATGCATCAGAGTACTAAAGATTACAGAAGAAGAATAAATACCTTTGAGTTGTAGTGCTGGAAAAGATTATTGAACATACCCTGGACTGCCAAGAGAACAAATAGGTTTGTCTTGGAGATGGTAGAACCAGGTTGCTTCTTGGAGGCAAGGATTCTTAATCTCTTTCTCACATTCTTTGGACATGTTGCCAGGAGGGACCAGTCCCTGGTGAAGGACATCATGCTTGTAAGATTGGAAGAATAACACAGGAGAGGAAGACCTCGCATAAAATGGATTGACACAGTAACTGGGATAATGGGGCTAGGTGTGGTGGAGGCAGGCATGTAGAAACTGGCTATTGTGTATAAGGTTTCTATCCATTATATTTTACTCTACAGCACATCACAACATTTTAAATTATATTGCTCCCTTTATTCCTTCTCTGTGTTTTGTTGTTGTTGTTACTGTAGAGAAATCCTACTGATTTTTGTATATTGATCTTATATTATGCCACTCTACTGAATTGGTCTACTAGGTCTAACAGTTGGCATTTGTTGGTTGATTCTGGGGGGCAGAGTGTTTCTGTGTATACTATCATGTCATCTGCATACAGCAAGTTCTACCACCTCTTTCCACATCTAAATACCTTTTTCCCCTTCTCTTGTCATATTGCCCCACAAGTACTTCATTCAATATTATATATATTGAATATCATTGTTATTATTCTTAGGTGTTGTCAGATCAATTAGTACTCAAAACGACCCAGTGAATAGCCATCCTGGATCTTGCCCTATCTATCCTATCCCACCCTCATCATCTCTGAAACACTCAGTCAAGCCCATTGTTTTAGTCACAGTGTCAATTCATGCCATTGGAGGTCTTTCTCTCCTTTGTTGAAACACCATCTTTCCAAGCATGATGTCTCTCTCTAAAGAATAGCCTCACAAGTGGCGAGTATTATGCTAAGTGAACTAACTCAGTCCCATAAGGACAAATACTATATAAGACCATTATTGTAGAAGTTGTATGCTGATCTGGGGGCGGGGGGAGAGGTTAGGATGGGTGCGGGAGGAGGGTGAGGGGAGGTTAAACATAGGGGCACACAATCTGATGGATGGTTGGGGGAGTCGGTCAAGGAAATGGGAAAGATCCAGTGTGAAAAGCAATATATGTGAACTTTGTAAATAAACCAGTATAAAATAAAAATTTTATTTTAAATAATAAAAAAAAAGAATAGCCTTGTCTAGCTACATATCCCAAGTATGAAAGACAAAGCTTTTCTTATCTTTGCCTCCTAGGAGCATTCCACTTCACCCTCTCCAAAACATGTCTGTTTGTTTTTTTGGCAGTCCATGGGATTCAGTTTTCTTCTCCAGTACCACAACTTGAACAGGAGTGATTAAAATGGGCATTCTTGTCTGGCCCTTGTTCTCAAGGGGAATGCCTTAGTCTTTCTCAATTGAGAATGATGTTGGCTCTTGGTTTTGAATACATACTTTTAAACATATTGAGGAAATTCCCTTCTATTCCTGTTTGTTTGGTTTCTTTTTTAGTATTTCAATTAGGAAGAGATGTTAGATTTTGTCAAAAGTCTTTTCTGCATC